AAAGAGACAGACAAATGCTGGTGTCCTTTAAGGACAGTAGACTGCAATAATCAGCGTGTTAATCCCATCTGCTTCTCCAGAGAAGGCAGCAATGTTCCACGAGGATGTCAAAGGACCAACACGTCTTCCTAAATCTGGCCGCACTCCTGGTTCTGTCTTCCCGTGTTTTTCCTTCTCGCTGGTGTCTTTGTCACCACAAGAAGCTTAGGCAGGGTGCTCACCTGTTCACACCTTTAACACACAGTACTGGCCAAGTACTCTAACGCTCTTTGTACAGTTGTGATTTTATTTTATTTTACTAGAGGCCCGGTGCACGATTGGGCCAGAGCGGGCAGGGAGGGCGGCTGGGAGGAGGGGCCTTGGGCGGTTGGCCGGCCCCACTTCCTGGTCGAACTCTGGGTTAAACTCCCGGTGTAGGGGACAATTTGCATATTAGCTTTTTATTATATAGGATTTTATTTATGTATTTATTTATTTTTGTATTCTCCAAAAAAATCGAGTAAAAAATAAAAACTCTTTATACAGTTGTACCTTGACTTTGAAATAAGACGTTGCTAAAGAGTAAGTGTAGTGTTTTCTAAACTATGTATTATTGTGGTGTTAATACATTTTATTTGGGAAAAATAAAAATAATTATCAGGCTTAAGTTTGGGTGGAGTATATGCACAAGTCAAATGTCTCATCCAGAATTCTTCAATACCAAGGACGGTAGATTATTACGGAAACACCACAGCCTCAGCAGAGTGAGAACGAACCCTTGCATCTAAACACTGGGTAGGAAAAGTTTCACGCCAGCCGCCTATTGCTGTATAACAAATTACTCCTAATCTTCGCAATGAAAAGAATACGCACTTCCTGTCTTACATGTTTTGAGCGTCAGGAATGTAGGGGCAGCTTAACTAGGGGGTTCTGGCTCAAGGCCTCTCCAAGGTCGTAAACACAATGGCAGCCAGTGCTGAAACCACCTGGGAGTTCTATTGGGCAGATCTGCTTACTCCCAGAGGTCTCTCCACAGAGCTTGTCACAACATGGTAGCTGGCTTCCCCCAGTCCCAGTGACTGAGAGAGAGAGAGAGAGAGAGAGAGAGAGATCAAGCTGGAAGCCAGTCTTTTTATAACCTATCCTTGGAAGTGGCGTCTCATCACGTCTGCCATCTACTATGCGTTGGAAACAAGTCCCTATTTCCAGCCCACACTGAAAGGAAGGGGTTGATGACAGCAGGGCCTGAGCACCAGGAAACAGAGGGGATCACGGAGGCCATCCTGGAGGCCGCCTGCTACAGATTTCTTGACCGCAGACATTTTTAAGTGTTGAGTCTGCTGTTCATCACTGTGAGCATCTAATGGGGGTAAGACAGTCAGCTGCATGTCCCAACTGTGGGATCTGGGATTTCCTCCATCTGCCCTCATTCTGCCAACTCACCTCCGGGCCAAGGATTTGCTGCGCACGACAGTCCTTAGGCAGCCAGGGAGTCGGTGTGGAATGCAGAGCCCCAGGCTCCACCTTAGACCCACTGGACTCATGGGAAGATTCTTTGTTGCAGAGTCGACTTTATCTGGTATCAATATAGCCACTCAACTTTCTTGTTTTTGTTTGCTTTTTTTTTGTTTTTGTTTTTGTGGTTTTTTGGGGGGGGGGGGGTAGGGCGCGGGGAGGAAGGAGAGAGAGAAACGGATTTGTTGCTCCACTTTATTGATGTCTGTCTTCATTGGTTTCTTCCTTTCCGTGCCCTGACCGGGCCTGAACCCGAAACCGTGGCGTATTCGGATGATGCTCTTAGCCAACTGAGCTACCCGGTCAGGGCCCCACTCAACTTTCTTTTGATTGGTATTTGGAATATGTTTTTCTTCCTTTTCTTTTTAATCTATATAAGTATATCTTTACACTTAAGGTGTATTTCTAATAAGTAGTATATAAATAAGTTTTTCCAATATGACAATGTTTGCCTTTTAATTCGGGTTTTGAGACTTTTCTATTTAATGTAATTATTGCTATGATTGGGTTAAAACCTGCCATCTTTTGTTCATCCTTTCTCCCTATATTCTTGCCTTCTTTTAGATATTTTATTGTTTCGTTTTATTTCCACTTTCCATAGTACTGTTGCCGGTGAATGTAATAGCTTCTTTTGGCGAGGAGCAGATTTTTGGCGAGGAGCAGGTTTTTGGCGTTTGTTATGGGGTGCGGCCACAACATTAGTTACAGAGAAACAGAATTTCTGGAGGATGAGGCCCAGAAATCAGGATTTTAACAAGATTCCCAGGTGATTCTAATGTGCAGCCAAGGTTGAGAACCACTGCAATAGAACATCCAGCACTTTCCAGGTGTGTCCTCTCAGGGTTGTGGTCTCCACTGATTGGCCGGCACCAGGGTGGGGGTCATTATCCAACGCAGCTGGTCCTGGGGGCAGCTGGGCTGCTTTTGTTTTTCTGGGCCTGGAGCTAAAACAGAACTGAGGCCTAGATGTTATCTCCAGGGGGAAAAGGTCAGGGGGTCCAGACCTCAGGCCCAGGGATCTGCAAGGGGAGGAAAGGTCACCCTGGGCGCGAGGTCCGCCCCTCCAACTGACTGTCCATTGCTAGGCCCGTGGGCTGTCCACCCTGGTGACCTGTACCTGCCCATGGTCCTTGCTCTGCTCACGGCTAACAGCTGCCACAACACCTTCCTGTGAAGCCAGGGAAAGGCGAGTCCCACTCAGAGTTTTAGGGAAAGTGAGACTATCATAGAGGATGCTTACTGTCACACTGGGGTCTCAGATACGTCAGCAGAAGACCAGGATTAGGAAAAAGGAACTGACCTTTATTCTAGTAAATGTTTAATATGAACATTGAATCCCATTAAAGGGTCTCCAGGGCCTCAGGAGTGCCTGTTTTTTTAAGTACAAAATTATTCAAGGCTGCAAGTTCTATACTAATTATCAATATTAGTATTGATTGTTCTATACTATTTTTCCAGTTTTATTGAGATATAATTGACATGTGTTAGTTTTAGGTGTACAGCATAATGGTTTGATATGTCTATATTTCAAAATGGTCACCAAAATAAGTTAATATCCATCACCGCACATAATTACCCAAATTTCTTTCTTATGAGAATTTTTGAGACCTACTCTTAGCAACTTTCCAATATAAGGTGCAGTATTGTTCACTTCAGTCACCACGCTGTACCTCACAGCAGAAGAACTCGTTGATCTTATAACCTTCCATCACCTTCACCCATTTCGCCCCCTCACCCCGTCCCTGTCCCTCCCCTCGGGGAACCACCAATCTGGGTTTTTTTTTTTTTCTTTTGTTTTGTTTCAACGCAAGGTCATCCTAAGGGGCGTGTTACATCGGTGAGCGGACTGTGCCAGCCCCTGGATCCTGAAACGTGGTGTTCCTGAGCTTAGACCTACACTGCGGTTTAAGTAACCACCTGGCCCACTTGTGATTGCGTGTTACAAAGAGGAAAAGAAAAACCAAAAGGGAAAATAAAGAAACTGACTTTTACTCCTAAAAGGGGAAGTTGCTGAAGGGCCTGCCCCCGGGGCGCCCTCCTTGCAGGCGCGGAGGATGGGGCTGAGTCACCGGAGGGAAGATCTTAATCGACAGTCCGCGCGCGGCCCTCCCCAGCCCGCC